ATTTCATTTGGAAGAATAACTCTGAAGTAGTCTCTGGCACACTCAGTTATACTACACATAGTTTGGTGGTGCTTTGTGATGGGCAGCAGTCGCAAATATCATTTATACTGTGCATGCAGTAATGGCAGAAGTGGGGTTTTTTAGACAGAAATAGTGGCATAGAACCACACAAACTGCATCAAATTAAATCAGCAATATAGGCTACGTAAGTGTCTTTAGAGATCTTAAAACTAATGTATTATGTTCACTTACTCCACAGTATTGTAATTCGATGGGGAATTTATTCAGATGAAGCTTTTAAAGAGGTCCCCAAATGTAAAAGCCATGCAGGAAACATCTCAGCTGTTTGTAATGGAATAAAGAGCATTGCATTTTTAAGATCTATTGCATCCCACAATGTTACGTGTATGAAAGTTCTGGTGGATGTTGGTTGATTACCTGAGAAGATGCTAAAAAGCGTGGGGACTTCAGAAAGGATCCTGAGATGGTGTGTTCTGTAAAGGTAGCCTGTTTTTTAAGGCAGATTTTAACAGAAACCTGTTATCAGTCATTCAAAACTGATACATATTGTATTAAAGAAGCATGAAAGAGTAAAAAACTGTCACAATGTTTTGTGATATTCACTGTCAAGTAAAGCCCAAACCTACTGAAGTTCGTAGAGAAAGTGTTCTCTTGTGTGTGTGTACTTCAAATAGAAATGAACATAATTAGTTTAGCCTTTCCCACCTACCGCTAAAGTCAACTTCCTGAAATTGAATAGTATCGTTATTGTAGACTTAATTTTTAATCTGTTTACACAGATTATTTGACGTTTTTTATTTTACATCGGCTTACAGCAACAAAAATCCCCAACTTTCCTGGAAGAGAAGGATACTATAGCTGTTTTCAAAGCCAGGATATCTCTCTGTAATACTGTTTTTAGAGTTCATTTTTATTAACACATTAATTTCCTCTTAGAAAAGTGAACAAATAGGGAAAAAAGCAAGCAGAAAACTCCTTCCATTGTGTGACTGGGAAGCAATGATTGCGAAACTTGTCTCTGTTCATCTAATCCTCTGTCCATAAGGCTATTGAAGTGACTTCTTCTCCAGGGAGAGCTGTTTCTTCTTTCGTGTGCTGGTGTCACATTGCTTCTTAGGCCAAGCAGCTCATGTTTTCAGAAGAGTTCTCTTGTCTGTCAATTATTATCATCCTATTTTTAATCATTCTTAATGCTGAGGTTTAGTAAATGAAGTGGTGTTAACAGTTCTTGAGAACTTTCCTCGTGTTGTGCTGGTGCTGTTCCAAGTGGAGTCCATATAGTTAGAGCAGACCAGCTTTCTTAGAGCAGAAGGGTCTTTTACAGTCACTGGCCTTTACACCTTGAGCAAATTAGGCAATACCAGACTACACAACTGACATTACGTGATGTGATGGAAAGTGAAGACTCTCCCTGTGGAAATATATCACACTACACTTGAAGTTAAGCATCTGGCTTTCACTGAAACACGTTACACTGGAGGACTGGTAGAGCTGAGCCCAGGAGCCTGGCTATAGCAGGTGGGAAAGATGGTAAGAGGCTGCAACACTCAAGGAAGCCATTCTCCTGCACATGGATTCTTACTTTGTTGGTATGTCATATTAATACATGGTAGCGAAGAAAATGCAGGAAGATTGCAGTAGAAAGGAAGCCAAAGGAGGGGAAATCTCAGCTTCTAAGAGACACTGCTTTCAGTTGTCAAACCTAAAGCCTAGATTTAGAAACAAATTAAGGGTGAAAATGAGTCAGGCTCTCAGGGTGCCAGGGTGGAGTTTCAGTTTTCCTGAACCCTTGATTGGAGGGAGAGAACATGAAATACATGAGAGCACTGGCCAGAACAATATTTCTGTCTCAGGGAAAAATCAGTGACCACTAGTGGAGTGAGAAATTACGGCACAGTTGTAATTAAAAGCTGAAGAAAGAGTAAACAGTCTTAAAATTCAAGTTTCTATTTAGTCTGGACAAGTTTGAATCCCAAAAGAGGGAAGCTAAAGACACTGGATGTCAGAGAAGCAGAATGAGATAAAACTGAGGGGAAATAGCTTAAAACATTTTATAACAGCACATAACTAACCTGTGAAAACCCCATCAGAAAACATATTGATTAGAAGGGTTAGTGAGAACTACAGCGGTAAATATTTAGCATGTGTCTAGTTCAAAGCTTAGAGAACAAAAATTTATCAAGGAAGCTTGAGGCTTTCAGTCATAAAACAACCTGTCAGTGACAGGGCATTCCCCTTAAGGACTCAGTATTACATGTTTATTAGTCATTATTACAAGGTCTGATTTAGCTTGTTGAAACTGAAGCGTTGGCTCTTACGCTGTCAGTTTAGTGCAGGTCAAGTCAGGCAATTCCCCTATTGCTCCATGTTGGCACAGAAAATAGAATCTTCAAAAAACAATTTCTCCCTGGACTGCAGGCTCAGGATATTTATACTCCACAATCTTTGCTTCCTTATTTATTCAGTTTGGATAGATACTAAAAGATTCCTGGAACTGTTTGTTGTCTGCCAGTAAAGAAATGATGGGCATAGCCCTACAAAGCATGCTGTGGTTGCTTAGTATCTTGTTAGCCTGTTCAGCTTGGAAGGAATCATTAGAACAAAACCATACTATCCTCTATAAAGGAATAGGGAATGTGTGCTACTGATGAGGGTTCTCTGTTACACTTGACATTGAGCGGGATAAAGATTCTACTTTGTGCAGAATCTAATTTGTGTACTTTGGGAATAGCAGCAGTAATAGTCACATCTCTGAAACTCCCAAGTATTTCTGTATGAATGAGTGCAAACTATTGAACTCAGAAGTGAGGTGATTTCAGAGAAGTTGTGTGGCTATGTTACTATGCCCCTTAACCCAGCTTCTTTTTACATTGAGGCTTTTTATAGGGTAATGTGGCTGCATGATTTCTGGACTAGAATTAGATCACTTCCAGCATTTCAGGAGAGCAGACAGTGCAAACATGATAGAGTACTGCTCATGTGGATCTGTCCCAAGTGTTCACAACTGCTCATGGGTTGGACATAAACAGAAGTTTGTGTACAATCACCTTGAAAATATCCTATTGTGTGTAACAGCCCCTCGTAGGCATGGCTTTGTTCAGGAAATCACTGAAGCCAGATAAACCTGCAGAAACCTGATTCCAGTGTGGACTGAGGAAATTAGCCTCTTCATCGTCCTGAACGGTTATTTGTTGTTCTGAAATTACTTTTTGTCTCTTTGCCAAAGAGCTGTCCAAGTGATCTAGGACCAGGGGGAATTTTAGGCTAAAATAAGAATCCAAGATCTCTTTGAAAGTCAAATGTAATATTAACATCATACAGTTGTGGATAATTCTTTAAAAAGGTTAAAATCTCTTCTTGAGGCAAAGCATATTTAATTATGGCTCCCAGAGCCCTCAAGAAGCAGTATGCAAAGAGAATACCAATACTTGTCATTTGCCAGGAAAAGAATGTACCAGAGTATCAGACGGAATCCTCAAGTAAGTTTAATTCAATATCATGTTTTGTCTTCTCTAAGAGAAGTCGAGGAGAGGAGAGGATATTAGGATGGTCACATGTAGAAAGAGTATAGAGAAAGCCTGCCAGGTGCAGCTATTTAATTTGGCCCTTTGTAATAAAACATGATGACACTCAAAAATAAGAAGAAGCTGTTGTAAAATTGAGTCGTATTAGCATTTAAACACAGTGAATCATCCAGACAGGGTTTGTTATAGTTTCCAAATAGGTTTGTCCTTTAGTAATAAAAAAGGGGGCACTTATGCTAAAAGATAGCAATTGTTAAATCAGGAAGGTAAGAGAGTAGATTACTAAAAACATTTAATCAGTTGGCAGCGATCTCATGTCTACAGGCTGTTATTGAACCACATAGCTTAGTAGTTCTTTAGAAAGATGTAAGAGTGGGAATAGTGAAAGTACTTAAATTAATTGAGATTATGGGGAAAATCTAGTTTTGTTAATAACGAACTGTGTTATACAGTTATTTGTGCTGTGAAAATAGGTTATGTTTTGCTCTCGGACATCATCAATAAATACTATTGGAAGCAGGATGCTGGACCAAATAAGAGAGGTTCTGATAACCTCTTCTGGCCTTCTGTGAGCATTGTTTCTAACTGGGCTTGCTCCAAAGTTTGTTCATAGTTCTGAGGTTGAATCAGAGCCTTCATAGGCTCTTACTGGCTTCAGTTCTGCTGGAGGAAATCTTACCAATATCTGAAACCACCTGCTTGGACCAGAATGCCCACCTCTAAAAGCAAGTACTGCTGAGTTCCTTGTGCTTATACTTCAGATGCACATGCTGGCTGCAATGGTCAGTATGTAGTCATTAACAGAGAACTATAAATGCCTGTTTTGTTTTGTTGTGGGTTTCCTGTTTGGTTTTAAGTGAGGTTCAGGTATTGATAATTACATTCAAATGTGCTTGGTTTTTTGCATAGGATCAGACTGCTGTTTGGCAGATCAAATTAATGCATGGCCTGTCCACATCTATAACCTTTGTCAGTAGGAACTGCCTAATGCTTGGCCTTATCTTCAGAGAACTTATGGGTGATGATGATTTAGTAAACAAATCCTATCACTCCATCGGGTAATCTTCTTGTATTTAAAGTAGTTATTAAGGGAGATTCCATGAATTATTTATAGTAAAAGTAAAATATGTCCAGAACCATAGTTTGAAAAAGGCTATCACCAGCCTGACTTCATATTTAGGTATTTGTTTTATCTGTGGGTCAGGATCTGCATATATTACTGTTGGCTGCAGTGCACTTTAGAGTCACTTTACCATCATCAGTATCCAACCGCATACAGTAATTGCTTCATAGAAATCACATGATCTTTGTGCCTCTATTTAAAATATGAAGGAAGAAAACAAATACCAGAGAAGAAAAAACATTGGGTGGGGCTGCCTGGATGATTTGAATTAAGGTAAATAGGCACACTGCATGTGACTGGGCCCTAACAGTAGTTCCATTTGGTTCACCCAGGAAAAAGAAGAATGGAGAAGAAGAACAGCCAAAGTCCTCTCTCAGTAATCAGTACCGAATTGTTACACCCACATTCCAGTATAATATGGACTACAAGAAAGTTGGCAAATGTATTATTATAAACAACAAAAATTTTGAAGACAAAACAGGTATTGCTCTTCTTCTGATGATAGTCATTACAGACCTTAGAATTCTTATACTTTAGTTAATCAGTAAGCATTTTATTTTTAGGACATGGAATTTTAATGATTATATTTGTCTTTTTTGAGAAACAGTTATTCCTACAATTTATTCCTGTTCTTTCTCACTCGTATTAAAGCAGTGCAGCTCATGTTTCAAAGGGCATGTCACCTTGCTCTACCAACTTCAAACTAACCCTTTGTCCCAGAGGTTAAGGCTGGGTTGTTAAAATTTGAACTTTGGCATCTGCGATCCATATTATAACTCCTCTGTCCCTGAGCTACAGCTATGACCTACAGAAACTAAAAGCTGTAGCTGTGCTCTGTTCACACTCCTGCATTTAACTTTTCAGACCATGTAGAGTTTCAAAACAGATACTTGTGTTATAGTCAACTTATAGGTCTTTTCCTATATACTTGGCATACACACTAAATCAAGTGTTTATTCCAAAGAATTTATATCAGTTTCTTTTAGATGGGTATTATAGGTGCTCTTTTCCGCTGTTTCTCAGTTACACTGCATAACCAAAAGGAGACAGAATCATCCATAGTGGTCCAGTGTTGCAAGATGCTGGAGACATGCCAACATTTTTCAGGATAAGATCCGTGTTAACGCTGAACCTTGTATGAAAACAAACCTCACAGTTTGTTCTCAGTGCTGAGAATGTTGTTAAAAGGATTGTTTTAAAATCATGTCACCATGACACTGGTTAGTTTTATTAATTATAAACCTAAAAATGTACCTTTGAGCATGTGATTAATTTTGAATTGTGTAATGTGCAGTCAACCCTACTCTTTGTTTTCTGCCAGGAATGGGTACACGCAATGGCACTGATAAAGATGCTGGAGATTTAGCTAAGAGTTTTCAGAACTTGGGGTTTGAGGTTTGCACATACAATGACCGAAGCCGGGGTGATATGGAAAAATTACTGAAGCAAGGTAAAAAATTAGAATCATAGAATAATTTAGAGTGGAAAAGACCTCTGGAAGTGACTGAATCTACCCCCTGCTCAAAGCAAGTCAAATTAGAACAGATTGCTTGAGCCCTGTTGCATGCTATTTTCTGTATAGAAGGATTTGGTTTCTGAATGGATTAGACTTAATTCCCCACCTCTTCTTCCAACATCAATTCAGAAATACAGTTTTCTTGTTATATTAGGAATCTGAAGCATCTGTCCTTTGTATTAAGTGAAGAGCCTTGTCATAATAGATACAGAATCCAGCCTGTTGACTCCAGTGGGCTAGACTTGGAGTCAAGTGAAGGATGCATTTATGTATTCAAGATACACATCACAGTACTAAAAAGTAGGTTGTGTCATTTTTATCCATTCCCTCTTGTGCCTTCTAGTAGAGGCCCAGTGTATATTTAGTCTCAGAAAAATGTGTTTGCTAAATATAATTTTTATTTAGAATGTTGCTTCCTTTTGGCTAAGAAGTATTTGATTTGTAGCTGCTGAGGAGAATCACAGTGATGCCGCTTGTTTTGCCTGTATCCTGCTAAGCCATGGAGAAGAAGGCCTCATCTATGGCACTGATGGACCCATGGCTATCAAGAGTTTGACTGCGCTATTCAGAGGAGACAAGTGTAAAAGCCTTATAGGCAAACCCAAGTTATTCTTCATTCAGGTAATAGCCCTAAGGTAAATACAGTACCCTACTGCTGCAGTGGAGAAAACATGATATGTTGGTTGTTTGCTCTGCAATATGTGTTAACTTACTGAATTGTAGTGGCGGTTTTGTGAAAAACTGTGTTGAGAGAAGTTGGGAGATTGGTTTGTTTTTAAAAGATAATTTATATACAGCATTCACAGATGTAAAGAATATATTGTCACTGTAATTTTGTACATGGTGTCACTTTGTGCTTGGTAATACATGAGCTGCAAAGCAGAAAGATAAACTCCCTCTCTGCAGACAGAGCTGAGTACAGAATGTGGTTATACATTGCACTTGTTAATGACGTGCTAATTACACTTGTTAATTGCTGACTATTATATATAATAATCTTATATAGTAAACTAATGCTGACTTGGCACTTTGACAATCCACTGAAATCCAGAGCCTGCAACACTATTCCCTCCCTTCAGGGATGTATATTTTAAAATGGGCAGGCTAGTAATTTTATCACTGGACAATGAGACATCCCATGGAATTTAATTTCTGCTTCTAATACATGCAAAGTACTGTTTAAAACTATATACATTAAAAAATGTTAACAAATACTCAGTTTTATAACACCTTATTTCACCTTATTGGACAAGTTCTCTTTGCCTTCACTGCTGTCAGGCATGCAGAGGCTCTGAATTTGATGAAGGCATACAAACTGACTCTGGACCTGCAAATGACACTCTGGAGACAGATGCCAATCCAAGATACAAAATTCCAGTGGAAGCAGATTTTCTGTTTGCGTATTCCACAGTGCCAGGTAAAGAAAAGCGGGTCAGGGTGGGGGTAGAAGCCTAACAACTCATCACTCACATTGATTTGATGCTAAACTTACCCTTATTCATAACATATTGTACATCGATGGACAAAACACTAAGGCCTACTGTATGTTAGGCCACTGTGTTGTATGCACTTCTTTTTACACTAGCTGTCATGGAAACAGGATAAAGCCCCAATCTGAGAAGGTGAAAAGACGTAGACAAATGGAGGAGGCAATACAGTTTTTTGGGAATCATGCCTGTCCATGTCCCAGTTTAGTGAGTATGTTGAATACTTGATTGAGGCAGGAAGAGAAATAGTTACAGCATGAAACTTGGAGAGGAAAAGCATAGAATCATAGGATGGTTTGGGTTGGGAAAGGACCTTAAGATCATCTAGTACCAACTCCCTTGCCATGGGCAGGGCAGTTTCCCAAATGCAGAAATATAGATCGGTACTTTAGTAGTGTGAGGTTAGGAGAGCTAATACACATTATTCTCCAGTTTAATGAAATAGGATATGTGACACAAGTGATAAGATTTAATCTTTCTCTGTGTGCGTTATCACTCTTTGCCCAGTCTTTCACACAAATTAGACGTATTCTCTGCCATTCCATTCTTCAGATATTCCCTGGCATTTCATATCTTCAATATAGCAAGAAAAAAAAGAGGAAAAATATACTTTCTTGTCTGTCTTTCCTGTAAGGTTATTACTCCTGGAGGAATCCTGGAAGAGGCTCCTGGTTTGTGCAGTCCCTGTGCTCTGTGCTAAATGAGCATGGAAAACAACTTGAGATCATGCAGATCCTCACACGGGTCAACTATGTGGTTGCCACCAATTTTGAATCACAGTCTGATGATCCACGCTTCAGTGAGAAGAAGCAGATTCCCTGTGTGGTCTCTATGCTCACCAAGGAACTTTACTTCTGAAAGTGTACTTTAATGCAGCCAGTGATGAAAAATCAGGATATGGTTTTGGGTGGAGATTTGATTATAAACTGGAGTAATACATTTTTAATAACAGAAATTTAATTACACTAGATTTTTATATTGTATAAGATGGGGTATCTGATGGCTGGCCAATATGCAAGACTTTAAGGAAGAAATAAATGCTGTGGGCCAACCTGACAGCTAATACTAATGACTGTATCTTAATTTCCCTTAGTATGGCTGTCATGATTTATGGCTACTGATGACATTCTGGGAGTAAGCTACCTGACCCGTAAAGGTTTATTCCAGGAAACAGATTGTAAATTAAGAAGAAACAAATTAAATTGTGAGACTCTATCTTTTCATTCACTGTGAACTCATGGAACCATAACTTCCTTGGAAATTTCCAGAGACCATCATATTATGGGTATGTCCAATGATGAAACAGTTTGTAGCTATTTAAAAGGATGCTTCTTAGTCTATTACATTAATTTCCCTTACATGAGCACTATTAATGAAGACTAATGGTTGTTCTGTGCTTCTGGAAGTCAATTTATTTAGTTGTCACTCTAGCATAAATGAATAAACAAAAAATGGGGGTTTGTCAATGATTTACCTGAATAGTATGAAAATATAGTAGAAAATTCAGAATTAAACTCCTTGGAAATGATTGGCAAACTGTAATTGGGTGATGCCTTGTGAAAGTGCCATTGTAAAGATTTCTGCCTTGCAGATGACAGCTAACTGATAAAGCAGCCTGAAACAGTGGTACTGCAGTGTTTCTGCTTGCAGAAATAAAAATGTCTGCTTGTTGATTAAGAAGGTTTGAACCAACAGAAAGTTAATGCCACAGATTTGATATAAAGCATTAACATTTAATGTTGAAATGATAGAATTATATGTTCCAGTAACAAACGGATATTCAGGTATAGCTTCTATTTGTGAGGAATTTTGCCAACACTGGAAATACTTACTTGAAGCAGAAACTAGAAGTGCCTTTTTAGGGTCTTGATTTTGTATTTTGGGGCTATATTGGTGATGTTGGTATTCCTACTTTTTATATACTCTTTAAAATTGGTAGCTAGCTCAAAGTAAGTTTAATGATGGTTAAACTGATAAATGATCAGTTGTTCTCCCTTTTCCTGGTTAATGTACTCTTTGCAATCTTCTTCGAAAGTAAGTGCATATTATTAAAGCCAAGTTACCAAATGATTAAGTTTATTTTCTTACAAATACTGTGACATAGTGAGGCATATTTATATTTTCCTAAGTCAAATCTACAGTTCTTTGAATTACAGGCAGTGATTGTTTTATGGATGTCTTGAGCATGAAATCAATAAAGGCCTTTTTAAAAAATCCTGTTAATATCTGCATGTTTGTCACTCTCTCTGGTGAAGTGAAAACCAGACACAATAAATCCTAATGCCTTTCTCAGCCAGGAATGCAGAAGAGCTTTGACATCTTTCAAGAGGAGAAGGCTGTGTGGAGACCTCATAGCAGCCTTCCAGTATCTGAAGGGGGCCTATAGGGATGCTGGGGAGGGACTCTTCTTTAGGCACTGTAGTGATAGGACAAGGGGTAACGGGTTAAAACTTACACAGGGGAAGTTAAGATTGGATATAAGGAAGAAGTTCTTTACTGTGAGGGTGGTGAGGCACTGGAATGAGTTCCCCAGGGAAGTTGTGAATGCTCAGTCCCTGGTGGTGTCCAAGGGCAGGTTGAACAAAGCCTTGGGTGACATGGTTTAGTGTGAGGTGTCCCTGCCCATGGCAGGGGGGTTGCAACTGAATGATCTTAAGGACCTTTCCAACCCTAACTATTCTGATTCTATGATTCTAAGGTAAGTTTTACAGTGGGTAAACCATGAAGAAAGTAAAAGATGAAAGTGCTTTAAAGGAAATATCCTGACCTACCAGCACTTACTCTTGCACCAAGCATAAAATGCCTTTACAGTTATGTAAGTAGCATAAGAAGTAGCTTCACTGTTTTGTGTTCCAGTAAATGATGTTCTTTAAATCTGAACTTGGTTACATTTTATTGTACTTTATGATCTTTTAGGGTCTAACTGTTGCTTTATCTTTCAATCATGGGTGGATACTATGTTTTAGATACAGCTCAGGGGAAATGAAGGGACTTCAGAAAGCTGAAACCACAAATACGAGCTGTCTCCAGGCTTTTTTTCTGCATGGGCGATGTTTATAGCTGCCTCAAATGTCTGTATTTTGTCATTGCTTCTAAGTGAATATTAATCTTCTGGACTTCCCCTTTCAGAACAGCCTTTAATTTGCTTCCCATGGCAATGGCAGAAATTTCCGTGTGGGTCAAATTTCAGGGTGTTTGTATTTGCACATGGACTATAAGAAGGCTGTCACAATGCAGGGCAAGGACACACCTGCTTTGCTCCAGGAGGCAATACAAGGAATTTGGAAATGCTTAAAGGTGTATTCTAAGACCTTCTGCACCATACAGACATTTTACCTGTAAGTATTACCACAGTTTGTTTTCCTTATCATGGTATTATATTTTGGAGGCTTTATAATAGCCTACGTCTTAATAATTTGAAGCATTTTATTTGCATTTTAACTGAAGTGCCTCATTGCATTTCAAAGGGTTGAAAGCGATCGAATCTCCTAATGCCAGGCACACAAAAGTGTGAGGGGGAATAGTCATAGAATTGGAGTTGACTATTCTGATTTAGACATAAGCTGTTTAAAATATTGCTTTCCATTGAAAAGACAATTAAATGCAGCAACTAAAAACTTGTTTCCAAAATGGAGAGTGAGATAGCACAGCTATAACCTCCTGGGTTTCTCTCTTTCTCCCTGTAAATCTTGACCTTTGCTGAGACCTAGAAGAGACTTTGTTCCTATCATAGGCTCTTGGAACATTGTTTTGCAAGATTTGCTTCGTTTGCCTGTCACAGTGACTCTGTTGGTCATGTAGAGAAGAGTATTACATTGTCTTTCATTGCAACGCCACTGTTGACACTAACAGTCTGACTTGGTGTGCAGTTAATTTTAGGTTTGGAAGACACTTTTTTGTCCTTTTTGGGGGGGAGGAAAGAGATGAAAACCCTAGCAGTAAATTTGTACAACAGAAGTTTCTCCCTAAAAGGCAAATCACAAAGGTTTCCCTGAAAACCACCAAACCAAAAACCCACAAAAGAATACAGGTAGAAATGCTGTGCAGAGATCTGCAGTGGACCTAAGTTTGCAGTGGGTCATTCTCATCTACAGCATGGTATTGCCTAATGCGATGAGGAAGGCTATAGCTTTAGTTGTGTGTCTGAGGTAGAAATTTGTGTGTCATCTACCCCATGTCAGATGAGCGAGGCCAGAAAATAGCCAGCCCTTTCTGACCACCACTCCTGACCATACCATGTTTAGTTCTGGCACCATGGAGGCAATCACTGAAGAAACAGAAACAAAAGAAACCCCTTAGATCTCTCAGTCTAGCCAGGGAGCTCAGCAGAGGATGAGAGAACAGCACTTATAACCCTTCACATTTTCCCAGAAGAGGCTCTGCATGCTGGAGATTGTAACCTCATTGCAGCTAACAAACAACTTCAAACCAAGTTACTAACAGGAAAGGATTTGATTTTGCAATAAATGAGAGCTTTGAGGTAAGGCAAATGGAAACTTAAGTTTCCTAAATGATGTTACAGACATGCTGTTACCCATTGGAGATGTATGAGAGAAGCTAGATCTGATTTTAGATGGACACAGAAGGAATTGTGAGATAATAAAAAGCTCTCCGGTGTGCAAAATGTAGTGATGTGTGTGTGCAGTTGATGGGAAGGAGCACAGAGCTCACAAATGCATTGCAAAGAAATAACAGTGCTTTGGAGGTCTGGCTCTCTTATCCTGACATCCACTGTTCTTCCCAAAGGAAAATGACAAAAGGCAAATTAGCTCCAATAAAAAAACTAATGGAAGCCCATTAACCAAACTCACCATTTACCTTCTAAATACTTCCATCTCTAGAGCACTTACCAAATCCTAAGACCACTGCCTACATGTTTTGTTAAAGGGTGATTTAACAAAACTTTGGAGAAATCCATGGAAAGACATCAGTGCTTTCTGCCTCTCTGCCAGCCTCTGTTCTCATCTCTGCCAGAACCTGTCTGTGCCAACGAGCAGGTTATTTATCTTCTCAGGTTTACAGTGAGATTCCCATTTCCCTGGTAATACTGGAGGAGACACTGCCAAACTAAACTGGTGTAAATAAAAACAGATACATTCTGTTCACCCCTCTGAAAAATCACAATATTAATCCACCTCTTTGAAAGCCGTGAAGTTTATTTCATCGCTGTTTATAAATTACTCAGAGGGCATTGCATTAAGAATGCTACAGACTTGCAAATTATTATAATTACCATGGTACTATGACTAGATTTTCTGAATAGATTTTCAGTTCTTTAGGCCAAGATGTACTTATTTTATACAGGGCTGATCACACTGCTAAGGCAGCGTCAGCAACATAAATGGGATGTGATATTCCCAGGTTATAGGTGTTCCATCTAGTGCAGAGGAAGGGGCAAAATGAGGTTCTCCTGACAGGTCACACCATGTCCTAGGCAAACCATCTCTTTGGCTTATAGAAATTTATGATGTCTTATTGTTTGTAATTTTATAATTATATTGTAACAAAGTGAATATAATATTGGAGCATAAAAGGTATAATTTACTTTGTAATATAAAATACTATGATGTATTATGCTTATATGAAATTATTTATATCATTTATTATAGATTATATAGTTTATTATTTATATTATATAGTTTTTTATAGATTTTCTGTGCTTATTTTACATAGTTTTATCACCACTATGAAAAAAACACCTACTTGTGAGGTATTTGTTATTTTCTTAGGCAAGCGTGCATGCAGTGAAGTGCTGCTCAGCAGCAGGTAAAGCCAAAGGAATTAGCTTCAATGTTCTTGCTCTGCTTACTATCGGGTGAAAGAAACTATCAGGATGGCTTCTACAGCTAAAAGAAATTCTGCAGGTACAAAATGTTGTTTCCTAAGGTTTGTTGGTGGTAAGGTTGAATCAGGTTTCAATCCGTTCTTATCAGCATATGGTACCATTCTCTTTGCCCTCTGCCTGCCAAGGATTTTGTGGTGAACAGTAGGTGAAAAACAGGTGAAAACAGCATACTGAAAATATGGAGACCTCACCTGGACTTACACTGTGTATTAATTCTGCCCTCTGCTTCCTTAAAGAATCTGGCCTAAATACAGTATTTCCCTTTATAGCAGAAGTTTCTATTGTCCCTATCACATTCACTGGGAACTGGAAGGTACACTGGTGATGAAGCCTTGACCTCCACTGAAGTCAGTAGTAAACGGGATTTCAAAACCAAGTGTTTCTTGCACCACCACAAAGTTTGGTCACGTTATATTTCCTAGAACTTATCCATATTATGTATCTTCTCTTACTGAAAGTTCTAAAATGAGGTTGTCTCTGCGCCTTTCAGGCACTGGATTCTTCAGAAATCTTTATTTCCCATACATGGTTTATAGCTTAAAAAATTGAATGATACTGCCAGTCCTTTCATTGGAAGTTAAGGTGCATTAATAAAAATGAGATTTTGATCAGTGATTGGAAAACACGAATCCTAAACCTACAACTGGCTATGGAGTACACATGAATACATTCAGGCATTTCCCACCCCCCTCATATTTTACTTTTAAAGGCTTTTCCTGTTGTCACAACATGATTCACAGTGTAAGATGATCTATCCTTAGCTGTGTCTGCAACCTGTCCAAAGTGAATGCCACCTACAGATTCCATTAGGGGCTGCTTACTGTCTTTCAGATCCCTAATTATGAAGTTAAGTAAGACCAGACTCCAGAAGTTAAGTAAGATCAGTTAAATAAGACAGAGGCTCATGATACCTTCCATGATATCTTCCCTACATTGTCACTATCACTTGTTTACAGTCTGGGACAGTGGCCAGCAGTAACATTGACATCAGGGAAGCCTGGTCTGGCCTTATATTTTATAGCCTTGACTTCTGTTTGTCTTCTCTAATTGTAATGTAGTTTATGTGCATTTAAGCACAGAAGCCCAGTGCTCAGCAACAATTTCCAGGTCTTTGTAAGAGGTTAATTGCCAACAAAATAAGTAATGGTGCTGTTCATTTCCCTTTGGTTAGTGAGAACTCCAAATACATTTTGCCCTGAAGGTGGAGTGTGCAAGCACGGATTCCTCATCAAATCACCACCTCTTCAACTTTTCAGCTCACAGGTAAACTAGCACAGATTAGTCATATTCCAGCAATCTCTCAGCAAGCATCTGTTATTTTTGCTATCCTGGAATCTAACAAGACACAAATTACTTTCTCTTCTGCAGAATTCCTGGAAAAGGCGTTTTTTCATCTTGTCCAAAACCAGCAAGGGCAATTACATCCTCAAGTATCTGAAAGGCCAGAACATAAAAGGCTCCATAGATGTTGATCAGTATGTAACTAAATGCATCACTTTTTCATGTATCAACACTCTTAAATGGGCATTGATTGTACAGACACTTGTTGCTGATAGAGGTTATTGATCCAAATCCCACTGAAGTCCAGAAGAGTGTCCTTTTGGCTTTTACAGGCTTTGGGTGCAACATACAATGTATGGTATATATAGAAGTAGAAATCCTAGATTGCTTTGATGAAACATGATACATTTGTGTGAGTGATTGTGGTGATGTGGTATGTGCAAAGCAGACATCCTGGCTCTGTGATCCCAAAGGATTCCTATAACAGAAGATATTTTATCTCCTGTGAGGACAGTGTTATGCAATCACATGCAAGTAAGGATGGGCTATGCCACTCTGAACCGGGGTGCACAACCTTTATATACATATTTATACACATACACATACACACACACACACACACATATATATATATATAAAACCTTATGGCTTTACAAAGTACTTTGCAAGTTATGCAGAGGTTTTCTAGCTTTCACATAGCCCTTTGGGCTGATGCTGGCTGCTCTTACCCCACCAAGAAATTCCTCTGCTTTGCCTGTTTGGGTTAGAAATTTCGAATCATAGAGTAGTTAGGGTTGGAAAGGGCCTTAAGATCATTCAGTTCCAAACCCCCTGCCATGGGCAGGGACACCTCACACTAAACCATGTCACCCAAGGCTCTGTCCAACCTGGCCTTGAACACCACCAGGGATGGAGCATTCACAACCTCCCTGGTCAACCCATTCCAGTGCCTCACCACCCTCACAGTAAAGAATTTCCTCCTTATATCCAAACTTCCCCTGTTTAGGTTTGAACCCGTTACCCCTTGTCCTGTCACTACAGTCCCTAATGAAGAGTCCCTCCCCAGCATCCCTATAGGCCCCCTTCAGATACTGGAAGGCTGCTATGAGGTCTCCACGCAGCCTTCTCTTCTCCAGCCTGAACAGCCCCAACTTCCTCAGCCCGTCTTCACACAGGAGGTGCTCCAGTCCCCTGATCATCCTCGTGGCCTCTCTGGACTTGTTCCAACAGTTCCATGTCCTTTTTATGTTGAGGACACCAGAACTGCACACAATACTCCAGGTGAGGTCTCACAAGAGCAGAGTAGAGGGGCAGGATCACCTCCTTCAACCTCCTGGTCACGCTCCTTTTGATGCAGCCCAGGATACGGTTGGCTTTCTTGGCTGCAAGCGCACACTGAAGCTGGCTCATGTTCATTTTCTCATCAACCAACACCCCCAAGTCCTTCTCCACAGGGCTGCTCTGAATCTCTTCTCTGCCCAACCTGTAGCTGTGCCTGGGATTGCTCCGACCCATTTGTAGGACCTTGCACTTGGCATGGTTAAACTTCATGAGGTTGGCATCAGCCCACCTCACAACCGTGTCGAGGTTCCTCTGGATGGCATTCCTTCCCTCCAGCGTATCAACGGAACATTCATTCCCCCTCAGCACTGTGCGCACTGCAGCAAGGCTGGGTGTCATTGGTCTTGTACTAGCACCCTTCACCGTGTTACATATGGTATGAAATACTTGGAAAGGAAACAGTAAATGTAAAGGGAAATGTAAAGTTAAGGATTTTACCAGTTAGACCTGGAGCTTAATACTCCAGGCTTCTGGAACTGTTAGGCATGGAGGTCACTGTACTCCCATTGCTATTGTGCTGTTTCCATTAAAAGGATTTACATTGTGAAGCTTTCAAAGAAATTCCAATTTGCTCAGTGTGATGTGGTTACATTATTACCATCAGCATTGTTGTTGTTATTTTTACTCATTTAACTTCTTGGGAGTTAATGGAAGTAGTGCTTACATTTAAGGACCCATGAAGAGGAACATTCTGTTCGTCTTCCCCTCCATTGAAACACTGTTAATACACAATTCATTTCAAATCAAATGTATTGTTCTGCAGTGGTTCAAAGACATCTGCCAGCAGTTTTTCTTACTATCATTTCTTTTCAAGACTGTGTTAGACCAACAGCCCCTTTTATAGATCCAAAATCTGGACACAAGTCTTTGCTAAAGTCAATTTTATTCTTCTGCTTGGAAGTTCTCTTCACTGAAAGATCATGTCTTTTGATTGTGTGTGCTTATTACTTTAAGGATATTTTTTTGTTTACCTTTTCCCATGCAGAACCCACCATATTATGCTGTGCTTAGAGTAATATACACAAATACACACATATGTGTATGTTTTTGTCTATGTATGTATAGTTATATAAGATGTTCTGTATGGTTCTCTTAACAGAATCATAAATATTGAAGTTGGCATCAGCAAACCCAAAATGATGGAGATGGTGAGGAAGATGTTTAAATGCCTTCCTGAGCAGGTGATGTCCATCAGCACTGGAAACAGGTGTTACTACCTCATTGGGAGCAGCAGGTAGGCATAGAAAGATGTGCAAATACAGACATTACGGTTAAGATAATGTAACACTGAGCCGCTGGCCCAAGGCAAGGTCCAGCTCCTTTCCAGCCGCTTCCACCCCTTCTTGTGTCTCAGCTAGTGACTGCTTAGCTCTGGGATGGTTGATCAATGGTTCATTAAATGGGAAACTGCTCTTTCCTGTATCATTCCCACGCTTACAATGTCCAACACAAGGGAGTAGCAGGAGCATGGGGATGGTGGCAGCACATCAGTGTGGCAGTGCCACGTCAAACTGTACTATTAAGGGTCAAGGAAGAGCAGAGAGCTTTGTCTTCTCACTCAGTGGCTGCTGGGAGTTAGGAAAGCTTCTGCTCCTTGTGGATAAATCACTGGAAAACTCCCCCAAGTGAAAACAGATCCTAAGAGGAATGCCTGGGGCCTTTACTGCAGCAGGATGGTGTGCTCCCTGCTTTCCCAGGCTGCAGTCCAGTCCTCAGCAGGGGCAGAAACTGCTGCTGTCGAGGTGATCAGCCAAAGCTCAGTTAGGTGATGGAGGACATTTGGCACAGGGCTCCTCTGCTGCTGCTTCCTGCTTTTCCTCTTCAGTTTCCCAGCCACAGGCGTGTCAGGGGGGTTTCTGCCCTCACGCAGAAGAGCAGCTGATGTATGAAATGCTGGTAAGTGCTGAAGGCAAACACATACCTGTGTGCCACCTCAGCGTGCCACCTCATGCTTTACCCCAGGGCACTGCTCTCACAGCCTATGACTGGTGGGAAGTGGTCTGGAATTAATCCAGCTAAATCCACCACAAGCATGAAACAGGGCTTCCCGGGTCCTTTCGTGGCGTGTTTCTCATCCTGCTAGCCCAAATGCATTCCCAAGCCTTGCTAGCTGTGTTTAAGGCAGGACTCAACAGGGCAGCATTACACACAGAAAATGTAGCAGAAAGCACCATCCCACCTCCCCATCTCCATGTCTCTTGCACACACACATACTACTCCCTCCTGAATACCTTTTAGCTCCCAATATTGGGCTGCATCTCTCTGAAGTCAAACCCAGCACTCTCTTTTGAAAGGGAAGTGCACATTTTCCCCGTTGGTTTCAGGAAGCATTGTTTTCGGCCCCATAGGAAGAAGTAGGTAGGCAAATGAGCTTTCCTTGTGTTTTACCTGTGAATAGGTTTTCACTTCTATTGTTCCAAACTACAGGCAGGAAACAGAGGACTGGGTCACTGTGATATCTTCAGTCTGCAAGGAGGCCAAAAGTGGTGGATGCTGCCCTCAGGTGACACGTTTCTGCACTTGGTTTTAGAAAGAAAGAAGTTTGTAATGTCATTAGAAACCTGATTTTGGCTTTGCAAGTTGGCCCTTGCCTTGCTTAATCAGAAATTCGTTTTCCATATAAATCCTGTACCCTGGTTTTATGCATTAAGCAGGTGCTGCACAGTCTGTCTGCTGGGATTGATTTGACATTGAAAGAATCTCTTTGAAGAGTAAGCTACACGGAAATTAGGAGATGATTGACATTATGCTGCAGTGAATTGCACCTTGATGAGTCAGAATGCAAGTCTGTGTGCTATCTTACTGCATGCTTTTTAATTACATTTATGTTGGTTTTACAAACCAACCCACATCTACTCTGTCTGTGTTATGAACCAGCTGAAGCCCTATTATTAGTTCAAGCTCAGTCTCAAGTTTCTTCACCTTGTCAGCCAGCCAGGCCTGCTATTCAGACTCAGCACTAAGCTACTTACATCCCTGCAGCTTTCAGTCAGCTCAAAGTGCAAGCAGAGCAAATCTATTGGCTGAAAAATGTCATGTAGACAAGCACTCTGAGCCATTAGAAGTAGAGATTTGGACTGGTGGGATGCGTTGGTATATTGTAGCCCATGCCCAACTGGTACCTGTCTTTTTACACTGCTGTTATCTTACTTCTAGAACCAAGGTCTTCCAAATTCAGAAGTCAGAAGCCGGCCTTCCTCTTTGCCACTGTTCTTAAATTCTATCGATACGACCAGTTTCCTAGAAAGGCAGAGCTACCAGAAGGTAAACAGATGAGCCATGCTTATAATGAGCTTGTTCTGAGGGGTGACTGTGATATTTGAGTTGTGTAGTTGACTTTTTCCACCACAAGTTCTTCAGAGCTTGTGCCGTGGGTGCCCAGGTGGTCTGTTCTGCTCTCTGATGAGGTTCCTGAGTAGGAGCTAAATGATAACGTCAGAAAGGGCCCAGAAAGGAAAGACTCCTGAGGAAAGCCTGCATGTAAGTAAAGGCAGGTGTTGATGGTGATGAGAAATGATACTCGCTTGCTGTCTCAACTGACTGGCAAAGATTAGCAGGCATGAAATAAGCCCCTGAAGATTCGCTTTGACATGCCTTGGCAAAGCTGTGTGATGATTGTTTTGGCAGCTGCTAGCCACATTCCTCCTGTTTTGTGACTGTGCTTTTCTCTGTCTCTCTCTTCAGGCTGTAACACTTAGAGGGGAGTTCAGATTCAGTTTCTCTGTGCCTTCCAGATCAGATCTTCCCCCTCAGTATTTAAATAGACAGGAAGGAAAGCATTGCTTCTGTCCCAGAGCAATTGCAGTCCTCATCCTCTGGTGACAGGCTGAACAGCAGCCAAGGAATTGTTGGGTTTTCTCTAGTCACAAAGCTGTATGCACATGGCCTAGCTAGAGGAAGCTGAGAGGAGGTGAAGCACATCCAGTGTACCTTTAGGAGTCAACTTCTTTCCTTTTGTATATAGGAGAATGGTTCCTCAGAAGACAAGAACAGGCCTAACTCAGATCCTGGCCCTCATCAGGCTCAGTGTGACTCAGCAAGAGGAATTTTTCCAAGTCTGGTGAGCAGAACGAATTGAACAGCTCTTTACTTCTTCAGTCTGCGGAAGTGACTGTCGGCTCTTGTCTCGCCTGAGTATCTGTAGCTATAGATGATACTTTCCCAGCACACTGAATTGGTTTTCACCGTGAGAGGTTCCTAAATATTTTGCCTGTTGTCTTGTTTAGCAGTGAAAATAACTTTCTCAGAACTTGTTTAAAAACTCTCAGGTTGCTCTGCTTGAGGATTTGCTCCTTCCATTGCATTTCTCCTCCGTGCCACAATCTTCCCAAATGCTTTCTTTCTGCAGTAGCAATTCAATCAATCAAACTGAACTGCTGAACTACAGAACACAGATTTGTTAAATCAAGGCACACCTCAGGGCTGACCTTCTGTCAGCATTAATATGATCTCAGGTAATGTAGCTTCCATATCTGGCAGAGATGATCCAAAAAGGCACAGTGATGAATGTATTACTGCCTGAACGTGCTGACCTGCGTTTCCTGAGCAAAGTCCTGCAGCAATCAGGTGGTTCTCACCCATCCCCTCCCTTCGCAGCAGAGTCAACGGAACAGAAGGCGCAACCAAAGGTCTACCACACCAGAATGCAGTTTGGCAGCCAAGTTTAAACCCAAATATTTATTGGCAGTTTATGCATTGGGCTATGATCTAGAGAATTTCTACTGTCATAGCTAACAGTGTGGTAACTCACGTGCTGCAGTCACCATCCATGTATATGGGCTGGCAGCATGTATGAGATAATACAGCTAAATTTAGTGTAAAGAAGTGAAAATAGTTGAAACGACATTGGAATGCCATGGGCTGTTAGCAAAGCTAAGCTGATACACAGTGCTTTATGAAGCTGCAATAATTCAACTGTGAGTCTGAGCTCTGAAATGCATAGGGTTGACCCTTAGTCTGACTTTAACTATTGCTCCTCTGGATGCAAAGCAAGGTTGTCTTTCTGTCTCTTCCTTATGCATGCTTTTTCTGTCTCATTCGTTAATTCTCCTCATACTTACGATGCCTCAGGGAGCGTGTATTATATGTATTACATGCAGCTGTCTAGACACAAGACGGACTGACCATGAGGGTTAAAATACAAGGAATCTGCATTTTACCTTTTTAGCCTGAAGCAGAGGCAATAGCAGGAAGCTCGTCTTTCTGTTTCAGCATGTGTGAAAATAACTGACCTTGCCATGCAGCTAACAAGAAACAAAAGTATTTGTCCATTCGATAAAAATACTTCAGTTGCCTCATAAGTTCAGCATCTGCTAACATCTCCAGATCTATTCTCTGCTCAATGATGTCTAGACAGCTGATTTCCACATTAATCCCGTGTATTTACTTCCTTTCAGAAGTATGACTCCACATTTCTAGCATCTGATGGGTTTCGCTTTTTACTGGTGGTTCCCTCATCCAGGCCCAGATCTTGTTCAGTAGCCATTACTCATGCACACACAGGCCTTTCAATGTCAGCCAAGTCTAGTCACACAGGCAAGGACCCTGCAGAGGCCTGGGGACCTGGCTCCCTTTCAGTTCACTTTTTGGACCTACCAAACCAAATCTGACTCAGCAATTCAGTATCAGCTATTTTGATACACAGCTTTAAATACCTGAAATACATCAAAGTAAGGAGCCCTGACTTGCATCACCCTACACTGAGCATTACTGTGTTGAAGGCAGCTAGGCATCCTTGTCAGGACATTTTAGACACAGAGAGAGATTTTGATCAGTTCCTCTGCCCAAGTGCAACACGTAACTTTCCCTGAGGAGCCTATAATTAACAATTACTCAGTTGTTATCCAGGTATCATGTCCATCTTGTGCTACAGCAATTTTTCTCCATAGTCTACTTTCTCTCTAATATAAGTCCACATCATAGAACGATAGAATCATAGAATAGTTCGGGTTGGAAAGGACCTAAAGATCATCCAGTTCCAAGCCCCCTGCCATGGGCAGGGACACCTCACACTAAACCATCTCACCCAAGGCTTTGTCCAACCTGGCCTTGAACACTGCCAAGGATGGAGCATTCACAACCTCCCTGGGCAACCCATTCCAGTGCCTCACCACCCTTGCAGTAAAGAACTTCCTCCTTACATCCAATCTAAACTTCCCCTTTAAGTTTTAACCCGTTACCCCTTGTCCTGTCACTACAGTCCCTAATGAAGAGTCCCTCCCCAGCATCCCTATAGGCCCCCTTCAGATACTGGAAGGCTGCTCTGAGGTCTCCATGCAGCTTCTCTTCTCCAGGCTGAACAGCCCCAACTTTCTCAGCCTGTCTTCATACAGGAGGTGCTCCAGTCCCCTGATCATCCTCGTGGCCCTCCCCTGGACTTGTTCCAACAGATCATGGTTCAACAGAGGCATAAAGGTCTTGTTTAGCTGTTCAATTGATAATAACTATACACTGAAGTTAACTGCACTTCTCTGGTGGTAAAACCTGGAGGAACAGGGATGTCCATAAACTGCTTCGTGGCAATGCAGTGCTGCTGCAGCTTAACCTTCTTCCCACTTTCCCTGTAATCTGCAATGGTACCAAGGAGAAACACTAAGCATTTAGCAAAAGATAGCCACTGTCTGTGATTGAAGGCTCAGTTTGGGAAGCTGATGAGTGCTGTCAGCTGAGATTTCCTAGGAGCTGGAGGATCTCAAGACTTCATAAAATCACCTCCTCTTCCCCCTTCTCCTGAAGTGTTTACTTGTTTGATTGATCCATAGCCCCTGAAAAGCCACTAGGAAACTCATTCATGACTTTGGATCATGACTGCAGAGCCAGCTTTGCTCCTGCTGTGGTTTTGTTATGCACTTCTTGAAGGATCTTTGGAGGTTTGTTCTGACTCCTACTGCATGAGTTGCTTTGTATGTTGTTTATACCAACAAGGAACAAAAATACCTTCATAATCTTTAATATCTATTCGATGCCAGTTTCCTCTCTTTACATGTAAGAGAGTAATTAGTTTCATTTACCTTGAAAACAGTAATATATTCTGTGGCATACTTAGCAATTATTAAAGCGATCACCATGGAAACCAAGAATGTAAGTGAAGAGATAAAAAGGGGTTGAATCACAGACATGGCGTGAAGAATTGCATTGGGAGGCAGCTAAATACTAATTACCAGTCTTCACTACAGTGAAGTCAACCAGGAGATATGAAAATCAATCATTTATCTTTGGGACTTAGAAAGGTAAATGTAGTGGAGGGATTAATTTCTTCTTGATTTACCAAATTGCCGCAAACTTAGAATTTCAAGTATCTATGAAAGCAGAATCAGTCAGGACACAAAGGATTCCGTGTCAGATCTGCAGGCCTCCAGTATATGTTCTAGTGCATGGAGAAGTATGAGCTATTAGACTTCTCATTAGTCAAGGAAGTCCCAAATTCACTCTTTACTTGATAGCAATTAAAAGGTGCTTAAAAAGGACAAATGCATCATGATCCACATCTAGGTTTTCCACATTTTTTTTTCCAGGTGCAAAGACTTTAGAACTCAAGTGACCTTAAATGCCTGCAGGTTCATACCTGAAGTGTTTAACTCACTTGATTTTGAAACAAAACAACAGGTTGTGAACACACAAACCATTGCAATTGCCTGGTTACCACAAACCCATCTATGAGAAGTACTAATGTGATAATACCAGTAGCCAGTTTTGTCTGTGTGCAGTGGATCTCAAAAACACAAACATAGAAACCTTGTTTCTAAACCAGACTGGCTCTGAGCATATCTCTCTTTAAAGAGAACCATGTTTTTCCATGTTTTCTGTGGATGCTTGCCGGTGCTATTACTTCTCCATATAGATTAAAAAAATACATCTTAAACAAGCTGTGTAACTGGACCTGTTAAATACAAACCCGTTCTTTTAACAGGATAAAACTCTGGGAACGTGTGAGGAAAATCTGCTGTCGTCAGATACAGATGAAGACATCAAACTGGATGAAGAAGATTATTACCAAAGTCCCCGCAATATTTTAGCCCAGGTAGTTTGTCAGTTGTTTTTTCTGTTGGTTTGTTAGCATCTCCAAGGAGACGGAAAACATTTAATGAGCCAAAGAGGAACTTGTCTAAGGAGCCACTAGTACCTTGCAAAAGAAATACATAGATAAAGAAGAAGGTAACAGAGATTTCATTTGCACAAGAAAAAAATACACTGGACTTATTTCAAAGGAGCCTTCTGGTAGAAAAGCTGCATAAAACAAACCAGTGCTTTAAAAACACTGTAAAATATTTTGGTGCCTACATTTCACTGTGAAACAAGGGAGCAGGAGAAATCATACTGGTAATTTAAACAAATTTTGCCCCTGATTTGGGAGGCTCATTCCTCCAGGCTTCCCATGTAGTTAGTGGTCAGGAGAAGCTACACTGCAGAAGTCCCAGCCTCTCTCCCAGGACTGTACAGCCAAGCTATATTAGCTGATGTGTTTAAACAACATGAGCTCTGAACCAAACAAGGAAATTAAGATTTTCTCTCTAGGCAGAGCAATGATACTAATGTCTTATGTTATGTGTTTTAAACAGTGGACTACTGAGGTATCAAATCCTGACCCTACAGCTGGATTTGATGTGCAAGAGAAAGCAGTGCAGATGAACCCAGTACAGGAGAACATTTATATGCCAATGAAATCACTGTAAGTCACAACTTCATTAAGGTTTGTGAATCAAGTGACAAAGTGGTACAGATAGAGCTGTCCTCTGTGGTATTTACATAACAATATCTAGAGGCTGCATCTTGTTTGAGTGAATCCTTCTTTGGTCTTGGTTCAGAAAGTTGAGAATTTGTGGCAATACCAGAGTGAAACTCAAACTCATCAAGGTGAAATTGAAACTCACGTTGCAGACTCATGCATTTGGATGTGCTCTGGCTATAGAATGCAGCACTTTTTGTTGACTCGTACTTTGGCTGGGTTTTCATGACATAACCCACTGCTTCACTCAGGTACTGTAGCCAAGGCCCAGCAACCCTTTGGACAGGTACTTTCCAAACAGGCAGCATTATCTAGTGGTTAAAAGAGAAAGAGACTTGGGGAAAAGCTGGAAAAACTTACTGGAAAAGCTCCAAGCTTTCGCAGAAGGAAGTTCTGTGATCCTGAGTAGGTTGTTTCCTTCCTTCCTTCCAGTTTCTCTTCAAAGAGCAGGTCAGATGCTGACTACAGTGTTTTGGCATGTCACAGAGACAGACCTGAACTTTGTAACACAGCATTAATGCCACAAGGAAACTTTACAACGTCCACGGTCTAGCGCAGTACACTGACGTGTGCCTTCACAATAAAACCGTACCTCCTGACCCAGAGGACTCGTCATTAGCTTTTAGCTGTAGCCTGCCTACTGACAGTCAGGTCTTATGCCACATAGTGGGAGGCAATTGCAAGTGCAGACACATGAACCAGTTGATTGCAATAGATCTGTTCAAGCTCTTCTGTGTCTTTGGCAGTCCCTGGAGGGAATTACTATAAAACTCTCACTAGTCAATGCCATTCAAGTTAAAATATACCAAACTCTACCAGCTTTTGCTATGAACCCCAGTCTTGTTTGGGGTGTGGAGGGGATCCCGCTCCAGGCACTGTAAGGCTCATCAAATAAACCTAAAATGAGTTCAAGCATGTCGGAATTATGTCCCCTGTATCTCCCAGGGGACAGTGTTAAATCCCTTCAGAAGCCAGTACAGCCAAGGCCAACACTCTGCACTCAGTTTCTTTATCCAGGCATGTTGTTAGCTGGAATGTTTTCGGGCTTAATGAATAGTCTTTAAATACTGAAAAGGTTTATTTTGGGATTTATGGTCCATTTTTAGAAGGACTGTTTATTTTATTTAGCTGTAATTTTGTCCACTGGATATTCTACAAGAACTTGTTATTCTTTGCTTCACTGATGGCTATTTGATCAGCTTCAAACACAGCAAGAGTGCCTGGAATGGTCAAACCACTTCATTTTTTATCACTGTGCCTCTTCAGTAGGTTGCTGGATGAGAGCTGCCAGCTTACATGCAGACGTGATAGGCTCCCATCTCTTCCCAAACGCCAGCACGACAGCACGTGTCCAGGAGACTTGGAAGCAAACAGAGACCTACAATTCCCAGAAAACAGCACCAGCCAGCAGCCAACCCTCCAGAGAAGGCAAAATTCATCACCACTGTCAGTGGTTCAGTTGTCTATACTGCTCAGGTGAGTGTCATTGCAGAGAACATAGGCATGTTCATGGTTTTCAGCTGTGGCGCTGGTAGAGCATGTCAAGCCTTTCAGAGTTCAAGGAGCATCTGTATGACACTTTCAGTCATATGATTTAGTTTTAGGTAGTCCTGTGAGGAGCAGGGAGTTGAACTTGATGATCGTTATGGATCCCTTCCAACTTGAGATGTCCTGTGATTCTATGGTCTCTGATGTTTTCCCTCACAGTCAAATTAAAGATGAGACCCAGCTGCAGAAGTTGGATGTTTTCGTCCCCCTGGCTGATATTGACAGTTACCTAAAGCTTACCGAAGCAGCAGGACAAATATGGTGAGTTCTGGATGTCTTGTGGTGGTGCCTGTCAGATGTGAATGAGTGGCTGTCAGGTCAGTTAATCCTAAATAGCTTGTCATGGAGAGTGTCAGAGACCAGCAGGAAAGAGAAACTGGAATTTCCATAGAATCATAGAATAGTTAGGGTTGGAAAGGACCTTAAGATCATACAGTTCCAACCCCCCTGCCATGGGCAGGGACACCTCACACTAAACCACCTCACCCAAGGCTCTGTCCAACCTGGCCTTGAACACTGCCAAGGATGGAGCATTCACAGCTTCCCTGGGCAACCAATTCCAGTGCCTCACCACCCTCACAGTAAAGAATTTCCTCCTTATATCCAATCTAAACTTCCCCTGTTTAAGTTTTAACCCGTTACCCCTTGTCCTATCACTACAGTCCCTAATGAAGAGTCCCTCTCCAGCATCCCTATAGGCCCCCTTCAGATACTGGAAGGCTGCTATGAGGTCTCCACGCAGCCTTCTCTTCTCCAGGCTGAACAGCCCCAACTTTCTCAGCCTGTCTTCATACAGGAGGTGCTCCAGTTCCCTGATCATTCTCGTGGCCCTTCTCTGGACTTGTTCCAACAGTTCCATGTCCTTTTTATGTTGAGGACACCAGAACTGTACACAATACTTTAAGTGAGGTCTCAAAAAGGTCCCATCAGGACAGCAATGGATATCTTGCAGTTATATCATAGATAAAACATATGTTAATAAGTTTTAATTTCGTTCTTTTGGAATGACTTCAGAAACCATCTCAGGCAAACATTGGGCTAAAACATCTACAGCAAGTCTTTTGGACTGCAATCCCTGACTTTCACTGATGAACTTGCTAGCACCAGTCTCACTTGTTAACATGCTGCAGTGTCAGTGTCATGCGCTGGTTTAGGAGAAGCTGTTGGGATGGATGAAGCAGCTTGGTTTCAGCTAGAAACAGATCATAAAGTTGCAAAGTCGTTGAACCTGTGTGTTATTTTCAGAGGGCAGTACCATAAACACAGTCCTGTTCATCCATTGCCATTCTGTTAGCAGTGACTGGGTATCCCATATATTTCCTTTATTGTCTGTTCTCCAAATGCCCTAGTGTCTCCCAGTGGACTGGTCCTCACCAAGTGGGTTGCTTGTTTAACCACGGAGACCATATAGTGGCTGTGAATGATCTGCAACCCCGGAACGTGGAGGAGGCTTACTTCTTCATCAGCAGGTCCACAAGAAAGGAGGTAGGCTTAACTAACCTGAAGGTGAGAGTCAAATGAATCAAGCCAAATGAGAAAGGAAGTTGTCTTTTGCATTTCTAGTGGCTCCAATCAAACCACTTTACTCTAAGTTTGGCATGAACAACTTCAGTACCAAATAGCTCACCAGCATCATTCTGATGTAGCATCACTCATTCCTGGGCTATTTGGGGAGTGCAGGCTCAGCACTGCTGTGTCTGAGGACTTGATCTCAAGGAGTCTGAGCAATCCCCAGAGGTACTACTGAGCAATTAGTAAATTAAAGTTACTTGGTATTTTTTTTTGCCTGAGGCCTGTGATTTGCAAACTTTGGGAAATAAACAATGCAATGCTGTTGCTTGTAGTGGTTTTGGGTACTGAGGGCAGAGCCATAGACTCTTACCCCCTGTCGGTTATCAAGCACTCCACATCTCCTTGTGTGATACCACCTTTTGGAAGAGTGTGGGAGATTTCTAAGGGGTGCTTTAATACCACTGTGATCTGCTACATGTTAATACCTATGTGCCTCTCAGTTGGACTTGTATTTCAGTATCCAGGTTCTCTGACCCACACCTGAACTCATTCATATTTGAATTTGCTGAGAAAGTTGAGGTTATCAGATGCTGTTGCCATCTAAAGAGAAGAAAGCCAGTCTCAGCAATGAAAAAACACTTATCTGTCTCAATAGGGCATTTTCACTTAGCTGGTTAAAATACAAGTCAGGTAGTAGCACAGATGTTGACCAGATGTAACAAGCTATAAAAATCTCTTTTTTTTAGGTGAAACTTACTGTTTGTAGGATTCCACATTCAGATATCTTCCATGTTAAAGACTGCTCATGTTCCTGAAAAAAGACCTCAATGATTAAGTAAGTGCCAAAGTTTAAGGCAACATATCAGGGAGAAGAATGTGATACATAGAATATGGAGATAATCTCTGTCTTCTAAAGCTGCCAGACATCTTCTGTTGCTGAAGTACAAAGAACTTGGAATGTGGATTTCATTTTATGTCCCAATAACTTATTTTGGTGACATGGATGCTATGTGTTTGGTTTGTATTTCATGTTAGCATGCAACTGAGTTACATGAAAAAACCTGAGTGTCAAATCATTTATGAAACCTCTGCATTATGTGTACTTTGTACTTCAATAGTAAGTGCTGGTTCACACCTCTGCTCACCTCTTTACACTGAATTACATTGTTTTATACCAAACTCCTGATGAGTTAGGGGTGTGGAAACAACCTCCATTTGGAACAAAGCCATGTTTTCCCATAGCTACAGAAAGGCAAAGGCAAGCTGAGAGCTGTACTGTTGGCTGGTGAAAAAAGTGTGGTGCAGTGATTCAGTGGGGCCTCCTTTTGTGTTATGCCCCTCTTATGTTACAGCCACAAAAATACACTCAAGGAATGACAGGAAAAAGAGCTGGTTGGAGAAGAAGAATGTGTCTGGAGCACCTTTGGGTTCATTGGCAACCAAAATCAAGCCCTAAGTGATGAATAAATGAATGGATTTGGGAGAGAGGAGGGCTGGCCTGCTCTGTGAAAGTGTTACTGGTAAAAACAGCTGGGAAAAAGAGAGAGAGAAATGATGCATACAAAGGCATGTGCACTCATCCCATTGCAAACAGAGCTCACTGGAAGAGTTTTGATGCCACCAAGTACCACAGGGATGTCACTGGTACCACAGCATTTCCAGACCAAGTGCTCATTTGTTTCCCAAACAAGGACATTTTCTGCAAACATTTATTTGTGAATACATCTTGCTTCCATTGCTGTCATAGAAACATGACTGATTTTCAGCTAATACCACACTTAAAAGGTGTTGGTGCTTGATATGGACCTGCCTGCAGGGGTGCCTTTAAGCGGATGCCAAAAGGGAGCTTTGTTCTGTACTACAGTGACCTCTGTTGCTTACAGAAGTGATGAGGTGTGTAGGGAGGACACATGCCTGTTCTCTATACGGATATGTACACATTTGTACGTACATGTTTGTGTGCAGGTGTATTTACATACCTCTATTATAGAATCACAGAATGGTTGGGGTTGGATCTTAAGGATCTTATATTTCCTTATATTTCCTTAAGGATCTTATATTTCCAACCCCCCCGTGAGGTAGATTGCATTAATATACAGTGATGTGGAACAAACTCAATCACTGGTTTTGAATACAGAGAGTTTTATCTTGCCAGAAACAACAAAATAACTCATGGGTTTACTAGGCGTAGGATTATTGATACTGAGAGATCTGATTAAGGTGGAGTTGACCCAAAGGAGGTATTTGTCCAGCTTCCAATTGAATTAGGCCAAGCCAGCTACTACAGTAAGAAACTAGACTCACTAAAATCATCATTAGAGCAAACTTACTCCAGTAGTAAATTTGACAAATACGCTTTGTATATCGCTTTTAAAATCCAGTCTGGACTTTTAAACAATCATTATAAAATTTTATGTAACGAAAGATGAAATCAGCATCAGTAACTCAAAATGAACCAACATAAATATTTATACAATCTCTTCTGACTCAGCTCCTATTCAAAAGCTTAATTTCCAGTCTGCATGTTTCCACAGCCTGTCTCTTCTGCTTTTGAGATAAGAGTGTTTGGGACGTGCTTATTTCTCAAGGTGGGAAAGCATCACCTTTTCCTATTTCTGTTTCAGTGGTGTTCAAAGGCCTGAATTCTGCATAAAGACAGAGGGAAACCCCAGTTCTGGAGCTACAGAGGCTGAAAATGGAAGAAAAGACATTCCCTGGAAGCTCTTCTCCAAAGCTGCTGTGGGATTCCATCACTCTGCACCATCTCTTTGAGCACAACAAATCCATTTCTGGCTAAGGAGTCTCTGAGGGATGGGATGCCTGGCTGTCACCATACAGGGCTTCTTCCAGCTCTGTAACTGTGTCATTCTGCCAGGATAGACTCTAGACCCGAATCCTGAAATCACAGATCATCTAGTTCAAGAATATGCACCCTCACCCTTTCCTGCCCAAGGCTTGCCTAAGCCTTTTGAACTTTAGAAAAGGAAAGTACAAACCTTCCTGTGCTGTTCCGACTCGTCTCTCTGTGTAATCAGGAAGATTTTACTAATATTTACACCAGATGATTTTTCTCTTGCCCTGTTTGCAGTGGGCACAGGGAATGGGGACTTCCACTGTCTCCAGAGAAATCTTCATTCTAGAACGTGTTTCTTCTGATTCCTTTTTTTTTTAGGCCAAATAGACTACATTAGAATCATAGAACAGTTAGGGTTGGAAAGGGCCTTAAGATCATCAAGTTCCAACCCCCTGCCATGGACAGGGACACCTCACACTAAACCATGTCACCCAAGGCTCTGTCCAACCTGGCCTTGAACACCGCCAGGGATGGAGCATTCACAACCTCCCTGGACAACCCATTCCAGTGCCTCACCACCCTCACAGGAAAGAATTTCCTCCTTATATCCAACCTAAACTTCCCCTGTTTAAGTTTTAACCCGTTACCCCTTGTCCTATCACTACAGTCCCTGATGAAGAGTCCCTCCCCAGCATCCCTGTAGGCCCCCTTCAGATACTGGAAGGCTGCTATGAGGTCTCCACGCAGCCTTCTCTTCTCCAGGCTGAACAGCCCCAACTTTCTCAGCCTGTCTTCATACGGGAGGTGCTCCAGTCCCCTGATCATCCTTGTGGCCCTTCTCTGGACTTGTTCCAACAGTTCCATGTCCTTTTTATGTTGAGGACACCAGAACTGCACACAATACTCCAGGTGAGGTCTCAGGAGAGCAGAGTAGAGGGGCAGGATCACCTCCTTCAACCTGCTGGTCACGCTCCTTTTGATGCAGCCCAGGATACGGTTGGCTTTCTGGGCAGCGAGCACACACTGAAGCCGGCTCATGTTCATTTTCTCATTCTTTCAGCATTTTTCCCAACACTTCCTGAAAGTAAGTGGTCATATGCCACAGAACTGCAAGACAAACACCTTGTGTTCCCGGTTATGGGTGAACAAAGGAGGTGAGGCAGCCGTGAAGCAGGTTCCTGGAACTTCAAGAAGAAACATTGCCGGAAAGAGGTGACCTAGAGAAGAAGCTGTGAACCGTACATGATGGTAGGAGGAGATCCACTGCCATGGAACCTGCACGTGGCACTGCTGCTGGAGGTGTTGAGCAATGCATGCTGTACCTCTCAGCCATGGAAGAATGTGCCTGTTGGACATTAGGATTTGAGTAGATACAGCACACACAGGATAATTCCAGGGTGCTTCAGAAAACTGGGGGGTTACTTCTGTACTTCACTAAACAGTCCCTGATGTGTTAGCCCATAACTGGTCATTATGTCAGTTTGCACGGTAATAAATGCAGATTGATGTCACATATTGGCTGATTCATAGCACTTACAATGTGGAAATGACATTGGTACAGTAAACTGTGGGAGGGTGTCTGCCCACATGCGTTAAGACTTTACAACACATTGTATTCTGCAGATACCTGGCTTTCTCCTGACACAGCCCCTCCTTGCCCTCTAAAGACTGCCTGTAACTTCCCAGTACCTGGAGCTGAACCACCAAACAGCCCTTTTTAAGGTGCTACCCTGAAAAACCAAGATCAGTCTCCCTCTGTCACATTTGTCCCCATGTGAAAATGTCACCTTTCTTCAAATGAGCAAATTCTGTTAAATTCTGGGCTGCTTCTAAAAGCAACAGCCAAGGGAGATGCCTACATCCGTGTATTACCCAGTGCTCACGTTTGGTCCTGGAAGACCTGAAGGAATGTCTTTAAACCCATGCTGTCTGAGGGGTAGCTGGTAATGTTTTAGATCACCTTCAGGCATTTTAAATGTGTCCTGTCAGCATACGCTCTTAAAGAAATAGGTGACATTGCAGCTTCTCATTGCAGAATGCTATGTGGCATCAGAATCTTTTCTTAGCCAGTCTCTTGGGTGGTGGAGGTTCTTGACACAGATGATTAAATTGTTATGAGCTGAAATTCACTGAATCCACAGACTAGTGAATCTGTGTAATAACAGAGCTGGAAGAAGGCTGCGGATCCTGAATCCTTGCACTGCTGACCCCAAAGTAACCTGCTTAGGAGCAAGGGCCATTGCTGGCTGCAACACACACCACCTGGAATCGCTCAACATCTGCAGACTGGGTATACAAGATACAAAACCCAACTGCCTGCAATGCGGATTACATGGTTTGCTCACAGTTAACATGCTCCTCACTAACTCCTTTAGTACCTGCTACTGAATACAGCCAGTGCCTTTAGGTTGTTTCCCTGACTGTTAATTCGTGGCACATTCCCATGCTGCAGTCACTCATTACTGGTGCTGAATTTCCCCCCTGAATTCCCAGATATGAATCTTGTTCTCTCCGCCACTCTAGCACTCTTCTCCAGCAGGAAAGTTCCAACACTTTCTCTCTGTTCCTGAACAGAGAAAGTGATGGTAAGAGAAGTCTCCAAATTGGTGTGAGGTCATTGAAGTTAAGAAAAATAAAAAGCCCATTGTACAGGAGGCACAAACGAGATGACACAACCTCAGCACTTCCTCTCAAGGGCCACACTATCAAGAACTGGGGTTGGAGTCATGTACTGATCAAGAGAGCACAGGTCCTGCTGCAGGACGACTCTAGCCAGTAAAGGTTATCCATGCTGTCTGTGTCCGTGTCCATTCTGAACTGAGCCAGAGACACGCTCTGTGTAGTGCAGTGTCTGGATGCACTGTGTTACTCAGAGTCCCTCCAGCCTGGGGTACCCAACCAGATGTCTTTCACGGCTGGACTTCCAGCAAGTGGAGTTAATAGAGGAGTAGCTGCAATGGAGAGTGATGTCACCTTGCACACCACATGAGTGGTGATCTGGGGACACTTAGTCTATGTTTTCCCCCATATTTTCTGGTGACCTCATAAATTTCCTTGCACACACTCAGTAAAATTCAGGAAGTGATTTCAGATACACATGCACATCACGCTCTCTTTTATCAATGCATGCAATCTCCAGCATCACATTCAACACTGTGGATTGCTTTCCCTTTCAGAACATCTGCTGAAAACACCTCCATCAGACCTGTATGCAGGGGGCTGTAGTCCCATTATATGGAAGGATACTGATGTGCCCGTTTGGAGCCATCCTGAATGTCCTGCAGGAACCTGTCTCACCCTGTCACCCTTGAGACAGCACCGCCGCAAGAGAACATTAGGTGATGCTCTCACTTCCCCTGCAGGGAACTGGCTCATTCCGAATTGGTGCTGCTTATGGAGGGCTGCACTGAGCAGGGGCTATGGAAATCTTATTCAGCATTTCAGGTCTCATTAGTGGACATACTAATACTTACAAGGGAAATTCCTCAGTGCTCACCTTGGCAGTGCAGATCAGTGTAAGTGATACCTCAGCAGAAAGCCTTAACCACAGGACTGTCTACCTTCAGGTCTGGGGAGCTGACAGCATGATCAGAGCTGTGCTGAGATGTTTCGGTTTGTTTCCCAGGGATCAACAGTAGAGGGTGCAGAAGTTAAGCAGTTGCTGGGGGTCCTGAGACCACGACCATCAGCAGCGCTCATGTTTTAAAATGCTGAATGACTGGAGTTACCATCATCCAAGTGCTGATCCAGAGCCCTAGTTGCAGGCTGCCAGTCCAGGGGTCTCTGCTATGAAGAATTCAACAACCTCTGCCAACAAAGCAAGCAAACCCTCTGCATGAGACCAGAGCTTAGCTCTCCTACTACTCCCCTGCCCAGTTTGGTTTAGTTCTTCCATCATGGCAAGGAAATGGTGTTAGCCAAGCTGATTAAAGAAAATAAGAAGCAAGACCAAAGCCCACCAAGCAGTTCCTAGGTGGCCAGCGAGCAGATGAGCAGCCCACAAGACAGCTCCACCTCTGGTCCTGCCACTTCCAGCAACAGAGGCCATCAACACTGATCGTGCCAGACAAACTGCTGCTGCATAGTAGTTTTAAGCACACATAATCCCAGGCAGTGCTGTAGATAATTATACAGTTTGTAATTGTCGGCTGAAACTCTGAAGCAGCTGCTGCCATGAACACCAAAGATGCTGCTGCCTCTTTCAGCAGCATTAAAGTTGGATCAGCCAAATAGCTAGAGATGGAGACAGGCTTTCCTGGGAGCCCTGCTCTGTTGTAGCTCAGCTCTATACAACATTTACCTGGAATCACAATGATGTGGTGCAGGCCTGTCTTCAATGAACCTGAGAACAGGAGAAACAACGCATACACACAAAACCACCTAAAACACAAACCCCTCCCTAAAATCCAAAACCCCAAGGCAAATGTCCTTGTGCTCCTCTTTCTAAGAATAGAGGTGAATTCTGGCAGCATAATGTTTCTGAGAAATCCCCAGTAGTAGAAAGGTAACTTGGGGGAGAATAGACAGGAAGGAAAAGTGAGTCATGAGGAATAGCTATAAACAGCAAGAGGGACTCGGGATACAAAAGAATCAAGTCAAAGATGGTAAAACTGGAGTCCTTTGCTGTAAATATGGTTTTGGTGACTCAAAAAAAAAACCCAAAACATTAGTTTAAGGTTATTTTCCAGCATCAGACAAGCACCAGTAAGTAGCACATGGGAGGAATGAGCTGTGCTGTGGCTGACCATGAAGGTGCTGGATCAAAAGCAGGCTCCTGCTGGGCTGCAGAGCTCAGTTCCCCATTCGGTCGCTGGGTGGCAGCACGAATAGCTGAATTTCAGCTCTGCCTCTGTTGCACAGGCAATAGACGCGACCAAGAGCGGGCCAAGAGCCAAGCAACCACCACAGCTTCAGTAAGGAGTGAAATCCAAACCTGTCTTTCTCTGATTGAGGAAGCCCTGCTGTGATAAATGCCTCAATCCATCTCTTCTCTAAAAGAGGAGCTGAAAAGTGGGTTAGATCTTGCTGCTGCCAGTGCTGCTTTTGGGGAGAGCTCTGCTTGGTGACAGATGACTGGAGGGATCAGAAGAAATAAATCTTGTTTCTTACAACAGTTCACTGAAATCACTCTCT